GACGAAGATTTAAGCAGTATTCCAAATCTTGAACAGTTGATAGATGGAAACAAGATCGAACAAGATGACTGCATTAATTCTGAGCTGGGTAAGAAAAAATTGGGAAGTTTAAAGAATGATAAGGCATTTGTTATGGCGTGCACACTGTGGGCAGACCTGCTCACTCACTTGAAACCAGTGTAGTTACATCATGGTGTCAGGATGTGAGGTTGACTGGTCAACTCTCAGTCCAAGTATAACCCAACATAGTGGAAGTGCATGAATAGATTAGTCCATCTGAGAGGTAGCCATGACAGCTGTCACTGAGGGCTTTTGCTTCTCTAATGATTGGTGAAAATTATCATTCCATACTAGATCAATATGGAAACTATACTGGCTTTCTTTGAATTATATATTACCTACACAAGTGGGATAGACTCTCAGATATCAGTCCTCTTCTGAACCTTGAACTTAACTCAATAGATTTCTCAATTCTCCAATGGGTCGAATTGGTCATGCAGCACATATATGACTGTTTCCCAGTCCTCTTGTTAATCCTTGTCAAAACTTCCTATGACATCTAAGGCAGACCATTCAAGCTTAGGATCAGGCAGTGGACAGTTTGTTCCTGAATCCACTCATTCAAGGCAATTACCTGCCTAAAGCACAATAAATTGTCAAGGTCCTCTTTGACTGTTTTCTCAAACATCGTAGGTAAAATTTGCTTGGCCTCATTAACAGAGACATATAGATTTGACCATAGCCAGTTACTTGTGTTTTTTGGTCAATACATAGATGATATGCCACTGATGTTGCAGATGCAGGATGATATTTACATACAGTGAGCCCAATATTTGCATATCTCACAACTAAAATGCTAAAAGGTTTAAGTTAACTTATAAATTTACAAAATGTAACAACACAAAGATATTGATTGTTTATTTGTTGATATTCGCACAAAGGTATTTGAAGGCTATCTATGCTAGCCATCCCTAATTTAGAAATGATAGAGTAGTCAACACCACCCACTTTCAACTCTCAGATTGCAAATCGAGCGTCCTAACCATCAAGCCATGTCAGGTGCAAAAATATTGAAAAGATCCCGATTCTACTATTCTCTTACAAATCTTTTTCATATGGGAATTTCCAGCTTTATACAGAAAAACAATAGCTCAACAAAGCCACTCTTATACATAAAGTGCATTTTGCATTTATGATCTGGGTTCATTTTGAGCCAGGCTCTAGGACGTGGCTGACCTTGACCATTGTCTAACAGGAAAGACAGCTTTCTATTTATGAATATCATATGCTACATATATTACCAAATAAAATTCTCGCTAGGCAGTAACAAGTATTATTCATTCCAAGAACAATGAAGGAATAAAGATAGATTTAGTATAAAACTAACTGAATGGCATTCTCAATGACGTGTTATATGAAACCAAAGAATACCACAAGTTGTGCTAAAGAAGTCCTCACACTAAAGGCTGAATTATCATATGAACTTTATCAAATTTAGTACATTTCAAATTATAATTTTCGAAATTGTCCAAATATGAAATATATTAAATATTTATATAATATTTAGAAGGCCCGGCATGGCCAGGTGGTTAAGGCACTCGACTCGCAATCTGAGGGTCGCGGGTTC